TGCCCCAGCACTGGCTGGAGAGGCAGAACACAGCTTCCTCTGTGTGACAGCAGCCAGCGAGGCTGGGAGTGGGTGAGCACCACTTTTACACCAGCCTTTCTGTGGCCTTCCAAGCATCATTCTTTAAATCACTAGAAATTTTTCAGTCATGTAAGTGCGGTCCTTGCCTCCGTTGACTTGCTGGTACAGGGGGCAGTTGTCTTTCCACGATATTTTTCACCTTTCACAGAGGTGTACGCATCATTGGAGCCTGCAACTATCCTGCCCTAACCTACCACAGCTAAAGGAATATAGTTTATTTGGAGAAGCAAAATTAAAGATACAAATTTCCATCTTTGGGAGTGGACTGAATTTCTATTTACTGCTAATACATTCAACAATTCAAATTGAGATTGCTTAATCCAAGCCAGGAATTTTGCCAAATACATGTGGAATCTATTTCATCAGAAAATTAATGGCCAGTTCTCTTCCTAAATGGTTCCAATTATGTATGATGAGATCTCCGGGTATAATCACTTGAAACAGCATCTTCTTCTTTTTCTGTATCCCAGGGCAGTCTATCTTCTCCCATGTCTACCTAATGTGCCTTCTGTTACACGGTGGCTTTATATGTTTCCCTATTCTCAGTTCTTCTGAGGACCTTTCCTGTATCTGGGTTATCTAATCAGCAGCAGCCATGAGTTGGATTTCTTTCCCCTGGAGCACTGCAATAACAGCCTGCAGAGACTGGAAGAAACTGCTTCTTGTATGAATCTGACTCATATTTGAATGGCTTCTTTGTGCTCTCTAGCCAAAATTTCAAATGTCAATAAATAATATCCTGATATGTTTTGTTAGGCACAAACAAGAGCAAACTTTACACAGGCAGAGTGAAGTTCTTACCTGTTTACTGGCAACCCTGATTTCATCTGAAATTCCATACGGCAGCTGTACTTGCAGGGCTGTATTTTACACCTGGCCCTCTCTGAGGACAGCTGCATTAATTGTGTCTGCTCAGCTGCCTGGAAGTAGGTGTCCAGCAAAATCCTCTGACGCTAAATGATTTTCTGCCTCAAGGTGGTTCTGTTAATTTTGCCAAATATAAATTGATCACACTGAACTCTGCCATTGTCTCTGTGTCTCTGCTCTGTCTATTCCCGAACCCATTTCAGAGCAGTACCTAAGTGTGCTTGAAGCAGAAGACTTCTTCTGGATTTCCACCCTGATGGGGCTGCAGGGACTTGTTGGATGAAGCACGCAAGCTCTTCTGCTTCCAGCAACAGAGCACACGCTCGCCAAAGCAGCAAAACTTCTGCCTATGTGCACACTCTGCACAGCTGTGCAGTGAGGGGGAGGCCCTTAGAGGCGATACCCAATCTGTTAGATATTCATTCACAAATCCAGGCAATGGAAGTCTCTTGGCCTTTGAGACCTTCTGTACCAGACTTACTTTAAGGAAAAAACACAGCGATCAAAGCTGCTTTTGCCAGATCCTGACACTGAGCAATTAGGAACAGCTCCCTCTCTGACAGCTCCTCTCAGCCAGGACTGGCCTAGGTTTGTTATTTCAGCATGACAAACTCTCTCCAAACTGGGGCTGGTCAAATGCTCAGTATTCTGCCAGAAAAACATCACTTTACTCACATTTTCATATTTGGTCTCTTACCTTGATCCACATGGTCTTAGGAGCATTAGCCCGGATGTTAGCGTGATGCCATGAGAGGTACTCATCTACCTGGGCCCGTTTCTGAATGTCCGATGGGTACCAGTGGTCGGGAGTGTTGTACTTTCGGCTCAGGTACAGCAGAATAGCAGTGCTGCTCAGGCATTAACAAGAGACAAGAAAGGGCTCAGGGACCTATGATGCAGAATGCTTTCATTGAAGCTCCTTCACCTGCCCCTTCTGAACTTGCTGCTTCCACTAAAAAGCATTCAGATCAGGAGTCTAGGGACCATAAATAGGCATCTAATTCATGTTGACATCAGAGATGGCACTTAATCACCTCAGTTCTCATGAAAACTTTAACCTGCTGGAAAATCACAGCACTGCTCTGTGGTGCAGAGTACAAACAATAAACCTCCATAATCATCTATGGGCAATGTTAACCCCGCTTGTTCCTCAACTGTCCTGACCCATCTCTCTCAGACCTTCACATGTTTACACACTTGTGTGCTAAACAAAACTCTCTCATGGGTTGTGTTGCCTTTCCATCAGACCTCTCTCTAGCCTGCAGCTTCCAGTGAAGTCAGTGCAAGTCCCAGCAAGGAGAACCTACAGAACCTTTTGGTGTTTGCCCAGATGTTTATACTTCCACCAACTGGCAGCAGCAGTCAGATGGAAAAATATCTTAGTCATCTGCAACAATATATAGGCTGTTACTACAAAAAGAGATGCCACAGAAAATCCTGTGCTGACAAAACGGAAGAAAATGCAGACCCTGCTACTATGCTGATACTACGGTAGTTCAATTATGTCAGCATTATGACACCATTAAACAGACTCCATATTAATCTTATAATGTAAAACCTAAATTTTGCCTCTGTAGGTGTTCATTTGACCTTTATGACAAATTCAGATAAACAGATTTTTTTTCCCTAGGGTAAAAGGGCCTTCTAGAAGCTTTAAACATTTCCCAGAAATGTTTATAATCCCATTTTGAGGTAAGTGCTTTCAGGGGAAGATCAAGAATTTCAGTCAGCTGATTGTTTACATTCTGAAAGAGAATTCAGACAGAAAGTGGAAACACAGCAAATGAGGTTATACCATTAAAAATAACTGACATGTTCATAAATTCTGTGATCCTTAATCCTTCAGCAGGAATGACATCTCCTAAATGCTGCACAGAATACTGGTACCAAGGAAGTCAAGGACCGAGTTCTTACCATTCCGCTAGGGTGAAGTCTCCGTCCTTCAGTGCTGGTACTTTCTTCAAGAGGCTGACTTTGCCAGCTCCTTCATTTGATGGCCCTAAGAATGTGATCAGACAAGTCAGAGGTTAGAAGTGTATCTGCCAGTGAATGATAAATGAAATACCTGCAGCCAACTGGACAGGCAGTGAACTGTGTTTCCCTGTATGGTCGGTCATATTTCATGATTAAAAGGCAACGAAATTGAAGAGTCGATGTAAAAGCTACCTGCAGAGGGCAGTTGGCTCAGGCCTGGCACACGGCATAAAGCAGTTCACATTTCTATACAGAAATTTCATTGCCTGGATCTGCTACCAGCAATACTCGCAAAACTTGCTGAAAAAGACCACTCCCTGAGTGGCAAAGGTGCTGGTATTGAAAACACCGTTGCAGATAACCAGGAACAGCTGATTTGACTTGAGAGCAGTGCGTCCTACAGCTTTAGAGACAGGGGGGTAAAGACAGAAGTTAGGATGAAGAAAACTGAGCAGGTAAAAATACTTCATATTTGCCAAGGAAGCAGAGTCTGGAAAAGCTGGGTTTGCATGCAGAGCATCTTGAGGAGGGCAGATGGTTGCTGCTCCTGCTCCTGTTCCCACAGGCAACACCAAACAAAGTAATTTTCCTGCAGTTTGTAAATGCGGCTGACTCTAGCTAGGATGGAGTCACGATAGGAAGCAAATGAAAAGCCTCTGAAAAAGCCACTGCAGTGGGTCATTAATCAAGGAGAGCCCAGCTGGCTTACAGATACACGGAGCAAAATCATTTTCTTGTTTGTTTCTGCAGAGCAGAGGGAATTGAGCATCTACAAAGAAAGCAAATGCTGTCAATGGGGCTGATCCCTTGGCAGACACGCAGCTGAGGATGTTTCCAGAGTTTTTGTTGGGATGGGAAAAACATGAATGTCAGCAATACAACAGCAGGCTCACAAAAGAATTCACTCTGCCATGGTGGACGTGGGCAGGGGAGCTCAGACACCTTCACCCTGCATTGCTCCTGGCTCTGTGTTACTCCTGGCTCTCCATGTCAACCTGCCTCTGTCAGGAAAACGCAAGAGGAAGACACCACGCCATAAAAGAGTTTAAACTCCACAGTCCCCTGGAGTTTGGAGGCATTCAGAGCTGACTATCTAATCGGGTCTTCAGTTCCCCACTGCAGGCACTAGATTTGCCAGTCAGCGGTTAAATGCCAGGGAATTTTACAAAAGTCCAGGAACACCTACGTAAGCAAAGGTGTGAGGAGTTCGTTTGCTTTGCTTTTTTAAAGTGTTCTCTAGAAGGAGCCATGACATTTAGGGTGAAAATCCTGTTCAAATCAGCATGACCAGCAGAAGGTCGTGTACAAAAATCCCTTTGTTCCAAAAAATAAAAAAAAGGGGGGGGGTGGGGAAAGGCCATTAACCAACAGGCAGTGACCCACATCCCTGAGAACTATTTTCCCCCATTCAGGAGGCAGCAGCAGTGTCTGCTGTCCTGGACAGAAGTGTAGCAGGAGATAGTCTCCAAGAAATAGAGCCAGCCTTTGGACTATCAAGTTTATTTGCAGTCGGCTTTGAGAAGGGGTGGGAGAAAAGAAGGTTGCTGCATTACAAATTACAGATCGCTTTCTCAATATTGATTTCACATAATGAGCCAAATCAAGGAGAGCAAACAATACCACCCTGTTCTCTTTCTAGCTGACCAGCCTCTGCCTTGCTTCTCCTCAGAGGAGAGTTTTTTTCAATTCCAGTGCAAGCAGCTTCATCAGAGACTAAGGTTCACATCCATCTGCTATCTGACGGGATTCAAGCCCACGTTTCCCATCTCATTGCGAAATGTCTCTGGCTGCCTGCAGCAACAGTGGCCTCCAGCTTAGCTGGGTAAGAGGATTCACACACACGGCAGAAGCAAGCGGCATTGTCAGGAGAAGCAAGAGAGAGGGGGCTTCTTCAGCACTGACAGAAAGTGCTGGCAGAAAGTTAAGCCTGGTAATGGAGAAGTTTGAATAGTCAAAAAAACCTCCTGTAAAATCAAGCCAGCGAGCCAAGGACAAGGTGCCTTATGTCCATGATTTCTGTCATAAAAACAGTAAGGAAATTTGTGTAAATCTACTGTCATGCAAGGAGTTGCTCGGGGAACTGTGCTTGGTCCTGTGCCTTTAGAAGGGCTCCAAAGGCCAGTGGTCACACACACCAGCTCTGGCAGGATCTGTAGAGTTCAGATGCTCTTTGGAAAAATGTAGCAGAAAGTTGCAAGTCAAAAATGCTTATAACTAATGAGCAGTCAATTCTTGGACCCAGCTGTTTGGTTGATCTGCAATGTTCATTATCCAAGGGAGCAGACAACTGAGAAACAACAAAGTAAGCAGCAGATTTCAGCCTGCTTTCACCGTGCAGCAGTCCTAGCAGGAATACTGGCTGTGTTTGTGCCCCAGTGGGACTGACACGTCATTCCAGCAGGTCGGACAGTAGGTCAGTACCTGCTACACCCTGCACCACTGCCCAGAGCTGGCTCCTTATTTGCTTTGGCTCCTGCAGGGTCTTTGCATACAGACTCAAAAGACTTGTGCTGAGACTGCAACTGAGCTGCAAACTGATAAAACCTTTGGCATGAACACAAACTCCAGGATGCTTCAGTAGGACCAATTGTTTATTGTAGTAAAATAGAGACCAATATTTGTATTTGCCATTTAGGAGAGTTTAAGCTTGTGCCTCTCTTCCAGCAAGCAGAGCCAGCCTTTTTGTTTAGTGGTATTAGGTGGCCCATCTTTACCCATCCTGTAATGTTGACTGGATTTATAGTGCTGTTTAACATCAGTTGTATCTGCTGTAACTAGTTCTTGATGTGCCTGAAGGAGATATATATACACACACTGTGTGTATTGCTGGGCTTTGAGAAATAACTGTAATGAGCAGAGCATACACTGTCAAAAAGCAGAGTAGGGAAGGAGATTTCCTGGTGGGTAAATAGAGCAGGGGACAAGATTTTACAGAAGTAGGCAGGAAGAAAAAAAAAAAATCAGTCTATTTGCCAATCATGTCCCTGCCTAATCTTCTCCTCAGCCAAGGATTTCCAAGTACTATGCTCTGCCTTAGGCAAAAAAAGTAACAAATTATTAGGAAATTGCAAAATATAAATAGGCAATAGTCATCTTGTACAGTTGGACAAGTCTGAACAGCTGAGTGTTTCTATGAGGTACAGAGCACTCCTTGGCTGTCACTGTGACTAATTTGCTAGAAATGGCTTGAGGAACATTCCTTGGGGATCCACAAAAATAGATGCAGCACAGCCATGAGACCGCTCGGGGAATAAGAGCTGCATGGTCAAACCATTGTACTCGGGCCTCTCGGCACAGCACGTATCTAAAGTGGCCCAGGTCAGCCGAGGAGCGAGTCCTTCCCTCCCAACGGGCCAAGCCAAGCTGTCCGGGGCTGAGAGCAGAACCCTGCGGCTCCATTGCCCGTCTGTTCCCAGCGAAGCAGCCCCCAGGGCGGTGGGACGCTCTCCGGGCTGGAGGGGCGACAGCCGGGCAGCGGGCCGGGCTCCTGCTCCTCTGCCGGGGAGGCGAAGGGTCTCTGTGGGGGCCGTGAGAGCAGAGCCCCGTCGGGCTGCTCAGTCCGGAGCGATGGG